TAACTCCATATTTTAGCATTATCGAAAATTGATGATTCAATAAGATGACAATCCTATTCTTTAAAATGGTATATTTTATCTTGTTGCAATGGGCGTGTGGCAATTTTAAAAATCATATAAGAGTCAAATTCTCATTTTAAGGATTTTTTCCGCTTTTAATGTAAAATTAATTCTGACAACGGTCTAGACTTCTTTGACTTGATTAGAAATCTTAAAATAAATAATGTTTTGATAGTTACAAACTGTTTTCTTTACTTTAGATGTATGCAATTGTTTAAAATTCTTTCAGTCAATTTCAATTTATTGCTAAAGTAACATAAACAAAACTGAATATAAAATTACCGACATCAGGTGTTTTCTGTTACTTTGAACTGCATGTTCACCAATGAATGAAATAATTATCAAATACAAAACTTTTGAATATATATTTTCAGTGTTGCAAATTGACAAAGACGTGTAGCAAATAGTCAACAAAAGAACCACAGCCAAACACATGAGTCATTGTCATTTTGCTTATTTTCTTTTGTTTCCTATTCTGACATCAGACTCGGACTTCTTTTAAACTGAGTTTTACTGTGCGTATTGCTGTGTGTTTGTTTATTCTATATTGGCTAGAGGTATAGGGGAGGGTTGAGATCTCACAAAACATGTTTAACCCCGCCGAATTTTTGCGCCTGTCCCAAGTCAGGAGTCTCTGGCCTTTGTTAGTCTTGTATGTTTTTTAATTTTAGTTCATTTATATGTTTTGGAGTTTAGTATGACGTCCATTTTCACTGAACTAGTACACATTTTTGTTTAGGAGCCAGCTGAAGCCCGCCTCCGGGTGCGGGATTTTCTCACTGTGTTGAAGACCCATTGGTGGCCTTCGGCTGTTTTCTGCTCTTCGGTCGGGTTGTTGTCTCTTTGACACATTCCCCATTTCCATTCTCAATTTTACAGAAAACAAAGACCTGAAACGGTCAAAGATATATTCAAATATTCGGCTTTGAGCGTTCCTGATGAAGCACGGAATTCATAAAGTGTTGTTTTCATTTTTTAAGCAAGGATGCGTCTGTCCTTCTTTGATGTATTGTTTGTTTTCTTTCCCAAAAGTGCAAGAACTATTCGTCTCTGCATATTAAGAAAACAATAATCAATCTAGTGTCGACATACGTTGCATTTTGATATTCAGCAGAAACAGCTTTTTAATGGTACCAGCTACTCGTTGTCCGGAGACCAATATTTATTACAATAATAAACAAAAAGACAAGGAAATGACATTCTCCAGCAGCTTTTAAGTGTTGCTTGTCTTAAAATCACTTAATATATCAGACTCTTTGTAATGTAAAAGTGCAACTTCAAAAGTAAGAGATATAAAAAGGGAGGTAAGGTATATAAAAAGGGAGCTACGATACCAAGGGGGAAATCAAAATCAATAAGTCAAAGAAAAAATGGGAAAAAAGCAACATTAAGTGTATTTATTATATTATGTATTAAGGTGATAATGTGTTGAATTATGGTATTTGAATTATAAATTCAAACAATGTACTGTAGGCAATATCTGATCAAAGGAGTACACTTTTACATTGCTTTACTAGAGGAATCCTATAACTAAAATTGGTACGTAATCAATGCTTACGTGAAATATCAAATTAATGGCCATACCACTTAAATAAAACAAACCAGTAATTAGTCTGTTGTGTCATGATGCATAAGAAAACGATTCTTTTGATTAAATGAGAAATGAAATTGCTTGGTCAATAAAGATTTTATGTATTCTTTACGGTTAGTTTATTTCCTGAATAGTATTGCATATTATTTCGACATCGATAAAACAAAAGCACATAATCCAATGTTCAACTATTTAGGTAGAAAAAAAAAACGAATCAGATGGTATCAGGAGAAAACAACCGAACGAGTATCACTTTTAAGACAAAGAAATGATAAACCAAAACTTTTAAAACCCAAAATCCGTCTGAGAAGAAAACGATGACGTCAAACGTGGCCTAATGGATAGCGCGTTATCAAATGATGTATAGAACGTGTATCAAAATGCTATCCCACAAACACACTCCAGCACGAGTATGTAAAGTTAACTTATGAGTTGGTTGACCGCTATGGAGTATCTATTTCACAGATGACGACGGATATGTTCTAATTGCCGTCACCACAATCCCGTCCTCCTTTTTCCTCGAATGTGACCTATCAAATTAGACTTATCAACGGGTCTGTACTTACACGAGCAACACGACGGGTGCCACATGTGTAGCAGAATCTGCTTACCATTCTGGAGCACCTAAGATCACCCAGGGGTTCGTGTTGCTCAGTCTTTAGTGTTCTATATTGTGTTTTGTGTACTGTTGTTTGTCTTTTCGTCGTTTTTCGTTTTCTGCCATGACATTGTCAGTTTGTTTTCGACTTATGAGTTTGAATATCCCTTTGGTATATTTCGTCTCTAATACGTGTATACTAACTCGAAAGAGATGAAATAAAGTGACAGAAGAAATGAACTCAAATGAAGTCTGGGATACTATCATGATTCGTAATTTGAGCCAATAGAACGATGATGAAAATATTAGCCTATGCTAAAGGCTAGTGCATTTGTACATACATGCATATACATAGATTTTGGTTCAAGGTCTATGAGATAGTATATATGTATCCTCACAACTAAAGTTTTCGGAACGTAGACATATGAAAGCAAATTTTCTACATTCAGGTAAATACGATGTATGTGGACATCCATCTATTATAAATAGAATATAAAAATTAGGAGATGTGGTATGATTGCCAATGTAATAGCAATAAAGCAAATATGATTCACTATACGGCCTTCAAAAGTTAGCAAAACCTTCACCGTATTCATTCTCTTTAAGGGCATTCGATACAGTTTTGATCCCACGGTGATTTTTTTCCGAAAAATTACAAGCTATTTTTTACCTAGTCAATTCAAATATGTAAAAAAAAAATAGCTTCATGTGCCAACTTTAGAGACAAATTGGGTCGAAATTTTAGTTAATTTTGGGTGTTACTTGTGCATGCCTAATACAATATTGAATGATACAATAGCGCATTATCTGTTTACATTTTAGCGGTAACTGTTTACCAAAAGATGATTCTCTGTATAAAATGCTGTTCGACTCTAATTTAATTATACATGTTTGAAATTATTGTATTTTTCAAATTTAGGTTTAAATATGCAATGTGTTTTCCATGGAGCCATTACAAATTTGCCGCAGATATTATACACTTTTTCGACAGCTTTCTATGTCTATTTTTTTGCTGCATCACCATACACTTGTGTTGGCTGTAATACAACGCAGATATTTCTAGTAACAGGAAATTGTACTCAATTTTTTTCTAGTTAGTTTATAATATGAATTAATTCTTCAAGAAATAAAATATGGAACACCACTGTTACAAATGTACCCTATGAAAAATGCAATACAAATAATAGCGCTCTTGTAACAAAAAAAGTAAAGTACGGGCTCTGGATGCTACGTTTTATGCCAAATATGAAAAATATTACAAAATAAAAAAGAATCTATTTCTAAATGCAAATAATGGAGTAATACATAATGTGCCAAACGAATTGCATACCACAATTACGTTATGCCATACTCATAAAAGCCAGTCTCTATATTAGGTCAAATGTATATATATATATATGTACTTCCTTTTTCAATTCGTTAACTATCACGTAGTGGTACTCTGAGTAATTATGAATGATACTCCCAAAGATATCATCACTAAAAGAGCGATAACCGCTGTGAAAATTAATGTATGCCAAATCGAGACCTGTTGGCCAAACAGTAATCTCTGTACAATTTGGCGTTCACAAAACTTATTCCTTTAGAAGTGATACATGAATATCGAATAAGAAATCTTATAATGATATGTTATGATATTTAAATCTGTATTTATTTGGAAAGTCAAAAAGGCTTTTTTATACTTAAGTTGCGTTCGAACACGTGTACTAAAATGAATGCTGTCAAATATTGTATTATGTTGAAAGACAGTGTATACTCAAGCATTTTTAATCTAATGTATCATTTCAAAAGGGATAGAACACTACCCTCTTACGTGAATTCGTAGAAGTCGTTTAACAAAATTAACCTTAGTCCACCTATTGAATATTTTGATAATTTGTCGTCCTGAATATGCAAGAAATATTTGCCACTGGACTTTAAGTAAATATCTATCAATCAACTATTAATCAAGCACACAATTACAATAGTTAATCATTACAATCATATGCTTCAAAAATGGGTAGTGCAGGATGTTAGATTACTTCGAAATATAGCATTTGTGTAGATTTTGTTTGACAATTGAGACAGCAACACACTTCATTTTACTTGACAATTTTAGAATAGTGAATACAATAATATTCTATGGTACGTTACACTTTTTTAATAATTTTTATATTCGTCATCAAAGTCCTTTATACAAACAACATTGGATTCCAAATTTTTGTTTCAAAACATGGCTTCATATGAGTCTTCCTTCTTTTCTTGCTGTTTTTGTAGAAATTCTATGAAAGTGTTGTAAATTAATCAAACCTAATATCATACAATGTGAACCAATATTGATTCGTAAAAACCCCGAATAATTACTCGAATACAGGACAAGCCAGAAGAATTTCATTGTACAATTGACTCATGACTAAGAAGCTGTTGGAACCATAGTTCTTAATGTAAAATGGACAGAAAAACCCAGCCACACAAATAATCAAAAGAGATTTATAGGTTATTATACAGTCTTTATTATTAAACAGATGTTTATACAATAGGTGAATCTCTAACTCTCCCCATTCTAAAAAAAAACCAACATTAATATTGGTTCGTTACTTAAACGCATACACGACGATCGTCGAATTCAAAAGTAATGGTAATCACAAAATTCATGTTCTCAATAGTGTAAAAATGTTAAGCTTATTTCTAAGTTTAATTTTACAAGACACACACGCTATATTTGTTTGATGGATGGATTCGAGTATTATCAAAATTACAAATGATATCATACAAGATATTCCATACAATAACAAAAATAGAAGACATATATATTTGTAACAACAACAGCCATTATATAAACAGACTAAAATTATGTGACGTCTAAGGTCGAACAGCTGATTGATTAAGAGATCCTATTGGTGCATGACGGGAACGTGTACTGGTCAATACGTGAGTACTCTAAGTTCAGTTCCACTGATATTCGAATATCATTGCAAAATGCAAACTCTTGAGGAATGGTTCTGTTAATAGAAACAGACAACCCAATTATTCAATAACAATAACTTCATTTTTTAATGAAGAACTTACAAACTGTTAGTAGCAGTTATGTATTGGAATCCTTGCTTCTTTAATATTCAACAATGATGCGCAATTAGTAAGACATGTTAATGAAATAAACGAAATAAAAGAATATTGATATATAAATATACCTGAATATTATCAATTTTGCGAAACACATTCTACATCGGATACATGATGAATGGTACCATGTAGATTGACAAAAACTTGATACCGCAAACTTGGGAGTTAATTAAGCCCAACAATGTGAGATCTCACATTGTTGGGCTTAGTTAACTCCTCTTTTTCTCGTATGTGACCTCCCGAATTTGCATATCACCAGGTTAGAACTAACATGAGCAACACGACTGGTACCACATGTGGAGCAGGATCTGGTTACCTTTCCCGAGCACCTGAGATCACACCCGATTTTATGTTGTGTTTTGTAGACTGTAATTTTTGTCATGTCGTTTTTCGTTTTTGCCATGTCATTGTCAGTTCATTTTCGACTTATAGGCTAGACTATCCCTTTGGTAGCTCCCGCTTCTCTTTTAAAGACGAAGTATAACACATGTTTGGTGTTAGCCCTGTAAAACGTAAGGTTATCCTATGGAGAATGTCTTTCGTAGAGTTTTTGCATATTGAGATGATAAATGTATTGATATGACTGCATGGTCAATATTAAAAACGTTTACGACTGACAAACAGTTTATCTGCTAACTATATTTACATGCCACCAGACATCATTTTTGTTGTTGTTATAAAGCATACTAGTATATAAATGTAGATACAGTCGACAAGAAAAGGAATCTCTCTACTAACGAAACTATATATATATACTATTTGGCCAAGTATGTGGGGCGACGGAACAGTGCAGGCAGAGTTGCTAGGATGTCTAGAACCATGGGTTTAAATATCGCTGAGAAAAAAGATAACCAAAAATAGCAGTCAGTCATTATTAGGCTATTTCAAAACAATGGGGAAGGAAACGCCCCACACAAAGTGGACATTAGACGACTTATGGCGTTCTATTTAGACCCTGTTGGTTGTGTGCTCACCAAGGTTTTTGATTCTTGGCTTACAATTGTACTTTCGGTCACGCGCGTACCTGCTAACGTTTTTTTTTAGAATTATGGGTTGTCTCTCAATCATAATATCACGCGTTCTTTTTTATTATCATTATTCTTTTATCTGATTGCATTATTAGAAAAACAAAGGATATGGGTATCCATCCATGACACAAAATCAGTACATGCACAGCAAAAACACACAAAAATAAAAGGAACAGCGCTTTTAATGCTGTTTTTCATCTCAAAGTCACAGTGAGGCCTTCAACACGGAGCAAAACTTCTATCACCTCACTGCAAGTTTAAGACGGACCCTCGCACTAAAAGCTTATACACGTAAGATGAAGATGAATACTGCATGCAAAGCTTACTATGGTTATACTAAAAGCGCACCTAGTATACCACTTTTCGGTATTTTATTACTAGTTCGTATGTCGGCTTTGTTTCTGGTAATACCATGTATTGATGATGGCTGTTTTTTACCCGTTCGGTATATCTTACACGTACTCCTATTCCATACTGATGTTTTCTATTTTCTAGAAAGGTCATCTAAACGCTATTGAGAGGCAATCGAATGTGTGGTTTTCATGTACTGATTTTAAATACATGTTCTTTTGTTTACATATTGTTGGTCAACTGGTCGAGGTAAATAAGGGGAAGGTTGGTATCTAAATATGCATCTGCCCATCGCCAGTCAGGAATTGTTTCAATATCATTCCTAAATATACTTGCCATTTTGAAAAGTAAATGTTAATGTCAGATATTAAAAGTCACTTTTAAATTTATTCGCATTTTTTTTTATATGTTTTATATTTGTCTTTCTTACTAGATTTATATATTTGAACAATAGATGTTTTCTGAATTACGAATGCAGGCAATTTGAAGCTTGACATATTATATAGACCCCTGACTTTTGTGTTATACCGCTGAATGTATTTTTGTGTTTTGGGTTGCTGTCAATGACGTATACCAAACATCGCCTTTTAAACATTACCTGCAATCAATACATACCTGTAATATCCAATCCGGTGCTTCAGCTGCAGAAAAATCCCGTACACAGCCATCACGTCTCATATATACGTGACCGTTACTGTCAAAAAGTCTGTTGAGTTGTTTTCTCTTGTACACTGTGATTTTAATAACTTTACAATTGGCTAAAAAAGATGAAATGCAATTTTCAAAATCTGCTTCATGGAAATTTAGATAAAATATAGATGTGGAATCTTGTTGTAAGTTTGCAATATACTGACTTATACGATTAACCGCAATCATTGTAACATCTTTGAAGAGGTAGGCAATATTTTTTTTCGAGATTAAATTTGTGAAATTATAACAAAAAGTATAAAAAAAATTTTAAATTACGTTCAAGTTAGACGTTCGTCATGTAATTTTGTTGTATTTCAGTACAAACAATTTGTAATACAAATGTTCAGCAATTTCAGGTAGAAGAATGTAAATATATGGTCACCTGGATTTCTTTCGCCCGTCATATTGGACGACTGTTTGGATTTATAAATATGGAACACCGCTGTGTCGAAATTAATATGGAACACCGCTCTGTCGAAATTAGGCTATCAACATGAAACAAAACCTAACACCTTACTGCAGGGTGGTGTCCCTAATTTAAGCAGATTTATTTGCTAGATATCGATAACACAACAACCATGAATAGTAATAAACAAATTCAAGGTAATTCCAATAAATATAAACTATAGCATGAATATATTTCTAATAAATACTGTCATAACTTGCTCAACATTATGATTGAAACATACAAAACCTCTCTTTTTCCAGTAACAGTACAAACCTCTCCCTTTTTAAACCTCTGTTTAACCTACTTTGTATAAATTACTTAATTGCTTAAGTTGTGTAAGTCTTGAATATGCATAGAATATTTGCCACTGGACTTCGACTGAACAACAACCAACCAATCATTTTGTATGTTAAGGAAATATGCAACACACTGAACCAATCATTTTGTATGTTAAGGAAATGCGCAACACACTGAACCAATCATTTTGTATGTTAAGGAAATACGCAACACACTGAACCAATCATTTTGTATGTTAAAAAAATACGCAACACACTGAATAAGATTGGAAAGTAACTGTTCAACGTTAGTGCGATGAACAGTCATAATAAACACTGTAAACTTATAAGTAACCTTCAATTTTTCCATTGTCTTCCACTGGAACAAACTCTACTTGATAATCTTTATTATCCACCGGTGGTTTTATATCTCTGATGCTTTCGTCAATGTAACTTCGACGAATTTTGTCTTCATCTTCGCAATTAACACCAAGAACATGTCCTCTATCTAACCAAGAACATACAAACAAATTAATAAAAAAGAAATTGCGCGCAGTAATAATTTTTTCCTTGCAAATTGCCAAAAGACAATAATTTTTGTTACACTTAAACACGATATTCACTTAGATATATATATATATATATATATATATATATATAAAAACAGTATATGTAGCTAAATTAGTTTTCTGTATCGTATCGGTCTACATAAAATTTTGATATCGGCTATAACTGTTTCATTTAACATTTGAAATTTTAAATCATTCATTTAGACATTCTCATTTTCACTTGGAAAGAAAACTGCTGCAAAATTATTTCTTGTTCATCACTTGAGATTTTAGTGTAGTGACAAATCTTGTTGAACTCAAGTACGAACATGAAATTGATTTGTACTTGATTTAGAAAACGATTTATTCGAATGAGAAAGGTTAACGATACCAACGGGATAGTCGAAAACAAGCTGACAATGCCATGGCAAAAAAGTAAAACGACTGAAAAACAAATAGCAGAAAACAAAACACAACATAGAAAACTAAAGAATGAGCAACACGAACCTCACCAAAACTCGGGCGTGTCCAAAATGTTAAACAGATCCTGTCCCGCATGTGACACCTGTCATTTACTTATAAATAATATCAAGTGATAAGGCAACACACAGTAGCTGATCGCTTATTGACTCTTATCTAACCCTATGACATCGCCATATTCATTTACCATCGTTCAAGTAGAGTTTCTAACCCTGAAACTTGACCGAATGTAAAATTTTGAAATTGAAACAACTTTTTTATGACAAAGGATAGACAAATCTTTACCGGTATAAACAATACAGACATTGAAAAAATAAAAAGCATTAAGATATATATCTGGAACATTTATATTCAAAGTACTATGGCATGTTCCTTGAGAGTTGACATGGTTTTTCTCGAATTATTTTCCAGCTGCTGGTCTTGACCATTTTATATCAATTTCTGTCATAACCATGTTCGTGGAAGTGGAATGAATGTAAATATAAGGAGAAGATACCAAGGGGCGATTGTTAGAGCGTTTCTTTCAATGAAAATTGGACTTATTGGTCAATCTCTATTAAAGTTTAGTCTGAGAAATACTTGTTAAAGGGTTGAGAAATCAAATATCACAAAGCACTTCACAGAAAAGTCAAGCTGTTAAGCAACACAAACCCTATTACAAATCTGGTGGGGAGCTTAGGTGTTCCGAAAGTAAAATCGCGGTGTTAAATCCCGTTCTGTGATGTCAAAATTCTAAAAACGTGAATAGATATCCTTGGTCTGAATGACACAAATACATATTTTATAAGATCGATAAAGGTATATAATGTTACATTGTACTAAGCAGTACAATAAATGATATATTTTATTACATATAGATCAAAGGCTGACACTGACGAAGGCAATTTGTTGTGCGGAAATATTTGTCCTTCTTTACTATATGGTTTACAAGTCTGTTTACAAGTCGTAAATTAAATAAGGTTGTTTAATTCTAATGACAGTGAATATTAAACTTAATCAATAAAGAGTGTAAGACAATGAAAGTTTAAATAATTTGAATCAGTGCGTGTTAATGTTTTTTGACAAACCTACCATCCACACCAAATGAACAGAGTTCCTTCGGTTCGACCGTTTAAATATCCACATACATATTTTGAAACATTTTCCCTCAAATTGTTTCTAACATAATCTCCTCCACCAAGTTTAAATTCCCTTTGTCTAGTTTCCTTGCCTATGTGTTGACCTTTTCGATAGTAGTTCGCGGGTAATTCCATTTCAACGTTAATGTCCACATACATATTGGCTATTCTCTGAAAGCTGAATCCTAGCGAGTTTCTGCTACTTCTGTCCTTTAAGCGGTCTAATACATCGGAAACCTCGGTAGGAGATCTAAGACGAATTACAGCCGACCGCTGTTTATCTTTAGTCTTTATTTGTATACAGTTTCTTGAAGTTGAAATTTTCATGCATTTATTTAGTAAATCATGTATGGCATCTGTCAAGTTAGAATCACTGATACTGCTACTTTCAGTAAGATTTCTTATTATCACATTATGATTGTTGTTAGACATTACGAGATAAAGTTCCTTTTTATCAAAATGCTTTGTTAAATATGACAACCGTTTTAGAGTTTAAATACATGGAGCAGTTCAAGTCCATCGCTGGAAACTCTATTTGTAATTGTATGTTCAACCTAAATTTAAATTTTATTTTAAATTTTACTTCCGGTTTTAGTTCACTTATATCATAATGTAAAGCTTTGATATTCTATAGAAGGAGAAAGTATTCGAAATCAACCAATCGTGCATATACAAATCTGTGTAATTGATTTCAATCAAAAATCGAACATTTTGTTTAAATCTTTATTTGTTATACAATGTAATTCTAATATTCCGAAGGTACATGATACAGGCTGCACAAAAATGTCTCAGATATATAATAAAACAATCTCTTACGAAATAATGTCAGGATTTGTTTTTTTGTTTTAATGACCTAATGAATCCCAAATTTTCACAACTGATATTTTCTTTGAACTTGATATTATATTAAAAATCTGAGACACGATTATTGCCTTGTAATGATCTTTATAAAAGAATAATCATATCCATGTTACATGTATCTCTTTTGTGGACAATGCTAATTTTAGAATAAGATTGGTATATTTTTTTTCAATTTCATCCAAATATGGCCATTTAGAAAGATGCTGGCAACGGTTTAAGACCTCTACAATTGTTTGATGAATATTTTAACGTAATTTTTTTTTAAAGGAATATATTACAACAAATATTTATACTAAATATTTCCTTACATTCAGATTGATATAGTCGAGTGTTTGGTTTTTTTCGCCAGTTTTTATGAACTTTCCTTTTTTAAATTTACATTAGAGCTTGATATCTTTGTTATTACATTTGTTTTTATGCATTTAGTAAAATCTTGAAAGAAAATCTTCAAAAAAAAACATTCTTCATGCTGCTTGAGAAATAAAATAAATAAGGTCGAAGTATCATTTAAATGTATATTAAGTCTCCTCCGGAAAGGGGCATTAGCTGTCAAAATCATGTTCACCGATTTGACTCAAATTCTCATATTTAATTTATAACATACTTAAACGTATATCCAAATAACAATAAGTCTGAAATAAACTGTTAACAGTGCATGTACTCGATAATATATATCAGCATTTCGTGCGTACTTTAGACGCCATCTAATTAACCATCGACATGACCTCCGAAGACTGCCGACGGTCACATAACACGATATTAACATAAACATAAATATAAATAGATAGATCGAGCGATCTCGTGCAATTGGATTTTTTTAGGTCTGTTTGATTTCGTGTTGTAGGTTAAAAAAATAAGTTAATCATCGTTTTTTCCTGTTCAAGAATGATTTTTTTGTGGATTAAATCAGTCAACGGAATGGTTCACCTTTGTTTCACTTTCAATATGACATTCTTTTCCTTTTAATGACTGAACACGACTAATACATGCGTAACCAATCTCTAGCTAACGGGTTAAATTAAAGGTCACATGAATACAGATTCAATGAGGTCAAATTATTCAATTGGAAGTGAATAATTCATCAGCGATGTTTCTTTGCTTTTTTTGACAAAACTGAACCAAATTGGCTGCTAAAAGCGAATTATTATTTCATTATTTCGCTTTTATTAATGATTGAACAAAAAAAATCATATTCCTTTTTTTTCATATCTCGTATCTAATGCCCTTTAATTGCATTCAAGAATAATTAGGAAAACAAAACGTTTATCAAAACAATGTAACAATGTTTTTGATACGTTTATAAACCCCGTTTTACAAGAAAATCAACGACTGTATCATACTATTTACTATTCGAATGCACATATTTTGTTTACATATTTTAACCGGATCAATTACCATAACTGGATACCTCGTTGAGGAGTGTATCCCAAAACTTCCAATAATAGATCGGCATTTACATTGTGTACGATTGTATTGAACTATAAAAGTCTTAACTTCAAAATACAATTCCTGGTCGGGCATACATGTACTACTGTAACATTTAAAAAACAATTGGTCAAGAAAATTTTTATGTTATAAGAATAAGGAGATGCGATATGATTTCCAATGAGACAACTATCTACCAAAGTTTAAATTAAGTGGATGTAAGCAATTATAGGCAACCACACGGCTTTCAACAATGAGAAAACCCATACCGTATTGTCGGCTATAAAAGGCCCCGACATGAAAAATGTGAAACAATTCAATTGTGAAAACTAACTGCCTAATTTATAACAAAACAATTTACGAATAACAAATATGACAGACATGAACCAACGACATCCACTGAACTACAGGTTCCTAACTTCGGACAGGCACATAAAGAATGTGGCGGGATTAAACATGTTTGTGAGCGCTCAACCCTCCCCCTAACCTGGGACAGTGGTGTAACAGCACAACATAAGAACAAACTATAAAAATCAGTTGAAAAAGGCAAACATAAACACAGACTGGACCGGGGTGGCAGGGTATTTATCCATCCCTCATCCCTAACAACAAAAAGGACACGAAGTACAGATCTGAGAGTACTCGCAGTTACTGACAGCTAGTTCAAAGCTAATAACAACTGATAAAAGAAAATCATGTATCTAAGACTAAAATATCAATCAGACTGAGTACTCATCCAACATCCAATGGGTTCATTAACAGTCAGAGAAAAACATGACCTTAATCCACTCCCATATCATATATTACATGTGATAATGTATCTCTATTTTCAGCAAAGTTTAATCATCCGAATTGTATAACAAACAGCAGATCAGTATACACATACCTGATTTAATCGGGTCTGCTTCTAATTTTTCGGATTTGACCATACTTTTGGTTTTACCAGCTCTTTAATGTTTGTATTATGTTTTGATTTTCAAATTGGTTGGTCTCGAGAATCACGTATGGGGCATTGGTAAGGTTGGCGAAATTCGCATATGATGTAGTAAAGTAGTGAAAAAGAACCGTTATTGTTATTCTAAGTTGCCCTCAATAGTGAATGAGAGAAAAAATAAATATTATGAAGTAGTGCCAGTTGAACGTTTAAATTTATAAATTAAAAATTGGTGCGTGAAAAATAACTTTTGAAATTTCACCTGCTGATGTGACTACTAACGCTATTTTTCTATCTTATTTTATACAATTGATTATTTCTTCTTCTGACCTGGAAGCTGCGTTTTATATGTAGCATTTAATGGACACATAATTTCAAGGTATTTCATGTCTTTTGTGATGACAATTAGTAGCGCTACAGGTAGAAATAAACTCATTATAGATACAAGGATCGAAATTTTGTACGTCAGATGCGCGTTTCGTCTAAAAAAGACTCATCAGTGACGCTCGAATAAAAAAAGTTAAAAAGGCCAAATGAAGTACGAAGTTGAAGAGCATTGAAATTCCCAAATACAGCCAAGGTAATCTATTCCTACGGTAGAAATCCGTAGTATTTCGGAAATCCAAAGTTTTGTAAACAGTTGATTTATAATTATGACCATATCAATTATAATTCATGCTGACCACTGGGCTGGTGACGCCCTCGGGGAGAAAAACTCCACCAGCAGTGACATCGACACAGTAGTTGTAAATAAACTCATCATAGATACAAGATTGAAAAAGTATTTACACTCCAAGCGAGTACTTCGGAGGGAAGACAATAGCAATCCGCTGTTACAATTGTAATGAGGAAGGTCACTAGGCCTACCAGTGTCACAGGAAAGCAGATTTCTCCAAGGGAAGCAGCAGCAGTTTTAAAAGTACTAGTTTTATAGTTTACATGAGCAAGATTATAAATATGAAAATTCGCACAATAATATAACTTCATTTTTGTTGGTAGCCTTTACGAGAAATTTTCATTTTGGAAAGAAGTTTTAAGAGTAAACGATTTTGTTCTCTACATAACTTCTAGTGGTTATTTATAATAACTTTCTTCATCAGCTAGTTTGAACACTAATATTTCTGCTTTTAATCATTCAGTATTCGTGGAGCGTGCCATAAATAAGCTTTTACAAACAGGGGCGGCTACTGAATGTAAGATTCCTTTTGTTATCAACACTATCAGTTAACGCCTCAAGTAAAGAAAGGTTAATACTAGATTTATGGCACGTCAATCAATTTATAGAAAAAAGAAAATTTAAGTTTGAGGGCGTATCGGACGGAGGCTCTACGATACACAATTAAAGATGGATATATAATAAAACTTTACTTAACAAGCGGTGATCATCATGTAAGCATAAATAAGGATCATCATCCATATTTAGGGTTTGGTGGAAATTTCAGAACACAACCAATACTTTAAATTTTCCGCACTTCCTTGTGTTATCTACAGCATCACACGTGTTTTCCTGTTGACAAGCATTAGCGTTCCCATTGCCTTAGAGTTATAGGTAGAAAATCCTTAGTATTAAGAAAAAAAATAGTTTTGCAAACAGTTAATTTATAATTAAGACCATGTCCATGATAATTCATGTCAACACTGAGGAACTGACTACTGGGCATAATTAATAACGTCGAGTGTCAAACAATGTAATTTCTTCGGAAAATGCCTGTACCAAGTATGACAGTTGTTTTCCTGTCGTTCCTTTGTTTGGTTTGGTCGAGCGTTTGGTTTGGCAGATTTATGGATTTTAATCCTTTTTTTTTTATTTACCTTGGAGTTCGGTATTTTTGTTATAAACTTAGATTTTTTATGTTTCCTTAATTCACTTGAACGAAAGAGCATACATATATGTTTGTGACGTATACAGACGGTGGTTTTATTACTCTAAAATAATGTGATCATTTCCAAATAACGGATTGTGCCTTGCAACTGATTGAGATTCTGTTGTGTACGTTTATGACGTATACAGACGGTGGTTTTATTACTCTAAAAAAATGTGATCATTTCCAAATAACGGATTGTGCCTTGCAACTGATTGAGATTCTGTTGTGTACTGGAGGAACAGTTACTAGTATCCAACCAAATACTGTTCTTTTGATATCTGAATATTATTGCAAGGTGCACTTTTTTGCTGAGCGGTTCTGTTAAAAGAAACAAAAAAACCAAACTATTAGATATCAATGACTAATCTGGAAATAAAAAAGTATGAAATCAAAGCAAAAGTTCTGTATTATTTACTGCAATATATCTATTCAACAATACTTTTTAAATAAATACAATAGGCATTACACAACCAAAATGAGTTCCACTGATCATAATAATCGTCGATATATTCATTAAAGGGCCATTTCTTTTAACGGGATTTGATAATTTTTCAGTCAGTACGATCATGCAAAAAAAATGAAAAAAAAAACACGTTAAAAAAATTCATGCGTCCGAAGCGCTTTTCTGGATTTACCTTCATCAGGAACGCTCTAAGCCGAATATTTGAAAGCCGAGGATGTGTAAGTACCGAAACAGTTGAAGAGTTTTATGACAAAAAATACCTAAAAAAATAGCCAAATCCATCTAAGGGCAAATTTGCCTGAGGGAGTTGAAACTTTAGTTTTTTATAATTTCAAAATTTAAAATTTATAAAACGGGCAATTTTAGAAAGGTTTGTTATAAATGATGTCAGGACCGAAGTACTGACTACTGAGCTGATGATACTCTCGGAGACTGATAGTCCACCAGCAGAGGTATCATGAAAGTCACATGAAAATCATCATACACATTTACTTAAAAATTTGTGGTTATTTATATCACGTCACGATTTAATACATTTAATACATACAATTTTTTTTAATACATTTAATACATAAAAAAATGGTGTTTTTGATTGTAATATTGTTTGTTGGTATGTATGAACCGCCTCTTTTCGATATATCGAATACTTCATATCTGGAATAATCAAACTTTTTGATTATTGCATTGTTCGAAAGCTTTGTTTGTGTTCTTTACCTATATCATTTTTAGAGTTGGATTTGGGATACCAACAAAACACAAAATATATAAAAAGGGATTCATACATACCACATCTTCTTATTTTTATATATAAGCGCCACACGGTCGTACAAATTTTGAATTGTAGAATAGTATAAAATTGAGAATGGAAACGGGGAATGTGTATGTGTGTTTTTCTATAAAAAAAAAAGATATGAATTAATGTATTCTTGAATGCATTTTTTTGTCTTCATGATATTCTAAAACTGTAAGGTAAACATATTTAGTGTGTATACTGGTATTACAAATAATAATGATTAGATGAGAATTTTTTTTCTTCCGAAATTGATAATTGTAAAAAAGATGTGAAAACCAATATTACTCTTTTAAAAAATCCGTAAAAATACACTGAAATCGAAATATCTCTGTTATGATATTTATAACAAGTCGATACAGAGTCAGTTATGTAAAAAAAAATCTATGACACACCGTTCTCTTTAAATTTATGTTTAAAACATTCAACAAAAACTTGACACTTACAGTGCAAAAAAAACATTGGTAGATTTAATAAAATACACAGCTAGATTAAAAATAGAGAGCTAGATTTAACAGATGAATATAAAGCGACTAGAATTTTTTTGCGTAACATTTACATAGATCTCATGAATATTTAAACAGAGTAACGACATCTTGGCTGCAATAAAACTTTTCATTCATTTGTAGCTTTTCGGAAAACGACAGAAATATTAACCCTTTTCTCAGCTTTGTAAAGAAACTGAGACGATAGTAATGTCGAAATGTATCAGTATTTTGTCCATAATAACCTGTTTTGTAGAAGTTACGTACTTGTGGTATTCGGATGTAGTTGTGAATCTTGTAGTCTAGCTGCTTTCTTTTAAATCAAGCTTCTTTTTTTTTTTAAATCTATGTGAAAGTTATCTTAAATCTTGGTGTGTCATATTTGTTCAGTGCTTTAAACATAATTTTGACGAGAACGGCGTCACTTCGGTATAATCTACAATTTCATAGTTTGGTCAACAGTTATTTTAATGTTATTAAAATTGCAGTTTAATAGTAGTGCAGGATATATATTTCAGTAATTACAATAGATAATATTTGTATTTTATTTAACCCCATAATTCCAGTGTTTTTCATACCTGAAATATCCAATCCTGTGCTTCAGCCGCAGTGAAATCCGACACACTACCTTCACGTCTCATATACACGTGACCTTTACTGTCAAAAAGTCTATTGAGTTGTTTTTTCTTGTGGACTGTGATTTCAATCACTTTACAATTGACTGCAAAGTAAAACAAAAAATGTGCGACGGCTCGAAATCTACTGTATTTGAACATACTATCTTGTAATTCTTTTTGTCATATGCAATATGCGTTTTACGTTTTACTGCAAAAAGCTATCATTGTATCTATGAAGAGGTAGATAATATTTTTTCCTTTCAACTAAACAGAGCAGATAAAGAAAACATTTGATACATTCTTATTAACGAAAAACAATTTGTACATGTACTTGACAATATCCTTCTCTTACATTGCTGTTCTTAAAAGTCACAGGCCTTCTTCACTGAGCATAAGGTCAAAACTCTAGGCTTCAATATTAATACTTCGTGTTGATGAGTCAAGCTATTTACAAATGATTGTTACATATTTTCTTATGTTGTGCTGTTACACTATTGTCCATGGTTAAGGAGTTTGAGCGCTCACAAACCTGTTTAACCCCGCCATTCTGAACAGACATGTCCCAAGTCAGAAGCATGTTATTCCTGTAATATTAATTCTGCTATCTATGATGAGTTTATCAGTAGTTTTTGTCGGTTACATTTGTACATCTGATTTTCGTTTTTGTTTTTGTAATAAATATGGTATTTTGTTTTTCGTTTAATTGTTTCACATGTTGTAGCTGAATGTACGCTTTGAGTTTTGATAAATTTTAAAGACCATACGGTGACTTTTA